TCTTTATGTGAATGCTATTTGGGCTGAAACAGATGTTCGCCTGCTCTTATCAGCATGTATAATTAGGGGCATTTACATATGCGGAGCATGAAGTAAAAACAAATCCAGCAAAGTATTTTCCTCTGGTGCAAAATATTGATTTAAGTAAGAGAGCAAGAGAGAGAGAGCTAAAAAGACTTGAGAAGCAGTCCACCCACTCTCTTCGTCTCTGCTTTTCAAAGCAGATCATATGCGGCCTGCATTTACTTCATTCACTATTCAAGATGGCTTTTGACTAAAAACGTTATCAAGAGCAAGCAAGCTTTCTTAAAGTCTCATAAACGTCAGCATCAAGCTAACTCATTCTGACCTTGCCAAACCTAGCCAATACCATAAGAGGGTTTTCTTTCTGGAGCATGTCTTAAGATCATTAGGAACGATATTTGCTATGCTTCAGTTAAGTTCTGCACCATGCTACAGAGGTGTGGCAAATGCTAATTATCATCAAAACACATGATACAGATATCATTAGCCAGGTGGCCTTCATTAGGTTAATTGCTGGCATTTTTTATTATTAATCATTTGTAGAAAGAATGAGATTCGAAATGAAAAAGTATTGAATAATTAAGAGAAGAGTGCCTCTTTAAATCTTGTACTGCTTTGCTCTCTTGTTACACACAGTGGGGAAACTAAACTAAACTGCTTTGGTTCAAAAATGCAGAAAAGATAATATTCTCAATTAGTGCTTTAATCTTTATTTAATCACCATGCAGTTTGTGTATGTAAAATGCTCTTCTGTTTATGAATATGAGCAAAGTGCTGTAGTTTAACTTGTTCAGTTGATGGTAGAGTTAAGTAGACATCATGGAACAGTTTGAGTGGGATATTTTAATCAAATTGGCTTCAATACTATTTTCAGCTCCATGCATATTAATGGAATGTCGTAGGTTGTAGAGAAGGGTAATTACGTTCTGAATGATTTCCAAGGCACTATTCTGATTGCAGACCTTCTGTTTTTCCCTGTTTGAAATTATAGGCTAGAGGCAATAGGCTTAATACTGTTCTATGACCTTCTAATAGCTCTCTTCATTCTTATTCCAGTGAAGAATTTTCCTGATTTTACCTACATGTTGTAAGCATACTGTTCCAATTGCGGTCATTTGTATATTTTTTTTTTCCCACGAACCGCAGGTCTAATTGAAAAGAATGGACAGTTTCATTATAGATGTGGTAATTTGGTAAATCAAAACCCCTTGCTGACTTCTGCTGTTCACTGATCTTATTCTTTCTGCGACTTTATGTCCATTTACCAGTGGCTCAGCAGAGAAAATACAAATTGGTCCAGTTTAGAAGAACAGCAATTTAGCTGCTTGACAATTTGCATCAGTCTACTTTGACCAGTTTCACACCTTGCCGTTGTAAATACTGCAGCACAGAGGGTAGGAATTATGATATGTTGGGTTTACATGCATTCAGCAGCTGCCCTGTGGTCTGATACCCACAACCCATGGATGCTAAATTAGTGAAGCCACCAAATAAGTACAGCTAATTTTTACAAATATAAAGAATCTGATATTAACATTTGATGCTTTTTCCCACCAGTAAAATTGATTAATTTTATTCAGTCATTAAATAGGTTATCAGGCTTAAGAAGTACAAATCAAAGAAGAGTTTATACTAGGGATGCACAGTAATATAATTGTCGGTCTCGATAATTGCTTTTAAAATTATCTGCATCGGAAAGATGTCTACGTTTGACCAGTATTTCAAACCAATATTTGATGACTGATTTATTACAAATTACATTTATTTACAAAATGAATTGTACTCCAGAAGAGTACACAGTGCTTGATGTGACACTGGACTACTTTTTTTGTTTTATTTGTTTTGCTGTAGTTGTAAACCCATTTTTAAATAAATGTAATGTTTCCCCTAATGCTAATCTAGTTAGGTTATGGTATTTCTATGTATCATTATGATACCAATTATGAGCATTGGATATCAGCATTGGCCCACAGTTCCATTATCAATGCATCCTTAGTTGATATATTAATCTGTGAGCGAATGGGTCCTATTAGAAATTGGTAGTTTCTTAATACGGATGTGACCTGTAGGTGCTGAATTCTGCATCACGTTTCAAATACACATAACAATTCAAACTATTTCATTTACTGTCTCAGATACCTTTTTGAAATTTAACTTAAGTTATGCTGTACATTGGGCCTGCACAGTGAGTTTTGTCGTATTATACTATTGTTTTCTTTGTCTTTTGGAGAATTTCCTACAATCAATCTAAACTTGGTTTCTAATGCCATGTTTAGGTGTTGTTTTTGAAATTTTGCTTGCTTATGATGATTCTATAATCTTCTCATTTGTGTTGCTGCAGATGTGAACATAATTTACAAGTTTATATAGCCTGATTCTCTAGTAAGTTCTTGTAGATATATTTTTTTTTTTCTGGGCTCCAACATCTTTTATGTACACCATGAAAATTGCCCTTTGCTTTAGTAATGTATGAGTAACTCCAGCCTCCTGTTCATTTCCCAACTCTAATTTAGGAGCAGAAAGTGGTTTAGAAGGACAAAAACTTTCAAAGATAAACTATGCCAGAATACATAATCAACAAAATGTAAATAAACAGGCTAGAGCATTTCCTCGATTTATTTTATTGATATAAATATTTTAAATGATCAAAGTCTTTACTGAACTTACACAGTGTTACATAATATATCTTTGAGTAGATCTTAGAAATGAATGGGAGAATTGAACTATAAACTTTCTGCTTGTAAACATTCTTGTTCAACAAAAATGGCTATTTGGCATTTGATTAAAATGAGCAAGGGAAAAAGTTATCATATCATTGGGTGAACATGGTGAGTGCCTGATACTATTACTACATATTTGAATTGCGATTTTCCTGAAGTTCTTGAAACAGCTCCAAAATGCATTCGAATTGCCTTTGTACAGATGGGCTTTGGGAATGCCTCACATCAGTTTGCCGGTAATCCTTCCCACCAAAGAGCCAAAGCCTGAATTCGGGGTTAGCAAAGCAGAGTTGGGAATAAATGTGGTGTCGATGTAATATACAGCATAATAGTTTTGTTTAGGGCTTTTTCAGATCAGGTGTCATTGTAAATCCCATGATATTTTACCACAATGAGAGAAGAGTACACCAGAGGACCCAGGTTGAATATGCATTAAGGAAAAGGCTGCAAAAAGCCTCATCTTAATGTCTTCTGTGGAAAGAGGGACATTATACACCTTGCCTTTAAAGCCTTCGCAGACACAATAGAATGATCAGAACTGGTTTTCAGTCTTCCTATGTCTCTGTCTGTGTTGTAGTAACCCCACTGGGAGAGTATTTTGGTCATATTTTGCAAGCTGAAGCACAAACACTAAGGTGCAGAATTCAAAGTTCTTTCCCTGTTGTTTAAAACAGGTATGTTTTCACAGATATTTAGGGCAGTTTACCTCCCTTTAAACTTAACAGGGTAAAGATTTAGCAATTAGGGAGTAATCATGATCATTATAGAGAGTAATCCGTTTAAAACCTAGCAGATGTTGGATTCAGGAGAGGGGATGGTCAGGGCCTTGAGAATTGTGCAGTAACGTTGTTGAAACGTTCAGGTGCAAGGCTGAAGTGTAGAGGACTTTTTTTTTTCTCCCCTTAAGTGTTCACATGTTGACAGTTGACCGTTTAATGGCCCACTTAATTGCACTGACCCTTTGGCCTGTGCATATCATTGTAAATTAATGCCTTGCCAGCCTTCTTTTCTTAGAGGTATGCTCACAATGATGTTATTTTTCCCCCTCTGAAACTTTGTTCAGGCTGAGTTGTTGATGGTCAGCCACATGGCTGAAGCACACACCAGGGACACTGTCCTGGGCTATATCCACACACTGTTCACTATATATAACCACTGCCCTCTTTTTAATGTATTTTCAACTCTTATTTTTATTTTATATTGACTATAATGAGAGGAATATAAATATGCTAACAATAAGGCTTCTTTCATTTAATCTTCTCTGGTGTTTTCATTGGTGCATGTTCTGATTGATGACCAGTATAGACTCAATATTTCAATGCAGAAGGAAGCCTGCCTTTCCAGTCTTTATTTACATTCTGTTCTCAGGTGACTTGTAAAGAGAAGTCCATTAAATCTAACAATCACATATACTGAGGGTATTATACGGGAAGAAAACCATCTGAGACAATAGGTACAATATCTGTACATGATTGTGTTTACTAGTTATATAAATTTTTGGGCAGAAATATAATTACCTAGAATATTTTGGTGTTTTTGTATGTGGGATTTGGAAGGAGACAGCAGCAGTGGAACAGCAGTCTTACCCCCCGCCCTTGCCAGGTGTTTGACATTGAGTGGAGCTGGAGATGAATGTAGCTTATGGCAACCCATGGAATTGTCTGACTCCTGGGAGTCCCAGCTTCCTGCTGTGAAAGTTTCCATTTTCAAAGCCCACCAGTTGCAGTGGGAATGTTCCAGAATGTCCCATATGCCAGTGCTGACAGTAAGGCTAACTTTTTTCTTCTGCTTCACTATCACCAGCACTATTTCTGACACAGAAATATTACTTGATAATGGGACTACATCCTGTTAAATTTTCATTTGAATGTTATATCTTCATGGTTATGCCTTTTTCTCTTTTGAAGGGCTCGTGGATTTTAACTCTCTATGCTAGTTAAATATATGAGGGCCTATCTGCCTGATGCAATACACAGATGCAATGTAGTGGACAGTGATATGAGGAGTGGGAGTGCTTTTATTTTCTCTCATTTCACACCAACCTGATTCTCCGTAACCCAAACCCCCCTCCCCCCATGAAGCATCTCAGCAGGAACCTTTTGTCCAAGGTGTTCATCTGGAACAACTTTGCCACACTTGTTTTCATGTTCTTTTAGATTACAGGGCAGCCGGCCTCAGCTTTGAAGCGCCTCTCTTTCTTTGTCTCTGTGCAATGCACTCTGGTAATTAACTTTGTCCTTCTTTTATTTGTTCCAGTCACTCGCAGTCCACTCTTCTGAGCATCTTCTCCCTGGAGTACCAGGTTAGAAGTTTTCTTCCTTTGTGAGGCCTGACAGGTGCCTAATTGAATGATGAATGTCCCCTTATTTCTTTGTAATTGAACTGCCAGCTTTCTGATTGGTTTGGAGGATGCCACCCCCTCCTTCTCCTCTCCCCCACTTGCACGATGAGGGCCCTGCCTGAGTCTCGGTGGAATCCTGCCAAGCCTTCCCATCCATCTGTCTAATAACATCTAGCCCCTGCTTATTTGGTGGACCTGTAATAAATTATGCTAAACCATTATTATTCTGACAATAATAATTTCCCCGTGTAGTGTGGCTCCGTGTGCTAAATGTTTGCTGACTCGCACTGTCACTGCTGCTTTCCCCGGCTGACAGCCGATGATGATAAATGGCCGTTGCCGGGAGTGGCAGAAGGCTGCAGAGGCACAAAATGGAGTCATTCATCATCCCCCTGACAGGTGTCACTCAAGTGGCGTGTCCCTGCGGAATTGCTTTTTTTGTAATTTTTAAATAAGTTGTTTTTAAGCAATGCTCTTTCTTTCCCCTGGTTAAGATGGCAATTGAATCATATATATGAAAAAACGAATTCAGACGGGAAGGCTGAAATGGGTTGTAGTTTCCTCGCAGTAGAAGTTAATTGAAGGTTTGAGTCAGGAATGAATAAGTTTTCCATGACTCACATTGAACCATTAGACAACTCATTGAGATTCAATAACTGATCTTGTCTGCTCATACACAAAGATGCGCCCTGGGCAGAATGATTATTCTAGCTGGCTTACGGAACAAAACCTTGCATCTCCATTTTTGATGTTTTTCTGCCATTTACAAATAGACCAATACAAATAGAACAAAATGACTATGAAAATTCAGAAGGTTTTTTTCCCATCTCTTGTAAAATTACATTTTTGGATATACAAAGTTTCATTCCGAGAGCAACGCTTTGCATTTCATTCAGAGGAAAGAACAAAGTTGCAAAATAAAGCATTTACATTTTTTACACCAACATGAGTGAACAGTGCATGTGTATATCTGTAAGTAACATTAAAAAAAAAATCATTATTTTGTGTTTTCAGAAGCGAATGAAAAGAAGTCTTGTGAGACACCATGCCCCAGATGTTATTGAAGACTACTACCAGAGGTAGGAATCAGTCTACTCTACCTACTAATCACTAGACAAGTGCTTGTGAGTGGGTGGGCTCTGCTGACAGATATAATCTCCTCTAAACAAATCACCAGGCCATCCAGATCCCCACTCGCACCTGCTAAGCCTACAAAAGCACACAGCCCCACTGAAAAAAAAATAGTGCACTTGGATATTTGCCCTGATTGGGTGTATGGTGGCCTATTATATATAATTTCTTTCAAAAATGAAATCAGGAGAAAACAAAAGGAAACTGGCTAAAGGCAAGGAAGCATTTTTGCATATCACAATTAGCCTTGTGTAGCCTATTAAGTTGTTGTTTTGCAGGATGGAAGCCGGGTGATGCATTTGTAATCCACTTACATAACAACCTCATAGATTATCTGCGAGGGATCTTTGAAGGCTTTGTGGTTTCTTATGGGGAGGAGGCAGAGCCACCCTTTTTTGGTTAATGATCATGCTTGTCTGGTTTGAGGACAGTCTGAGGTTTCAGAGCTCTACCGTTTGAACCGCGCCAAGCGCTCTAAATGCCGTAGAGGCCAAACCCATCCGGGACATCAACATGTCTTGGCTGGCCTGTTCTTGTTGTCCTCTCTCCCCTTGTTTGTTGACTTTCTTCATGGTCGTTGTTCTTTGTTGTAATGAAGGTACCGTAGTGAAGCCAAGAAACGTCCTTCAGACCCTGTCCTGCTGGAGTTGGCCAACGAGGTAATGACTTAAACCCTCTCAAGAGTCTCTCTGTCTCTCTCTCCTGGTCTCATTCTTTCCTTCTTGTTTTCTTTCTTTCTTCCCTTTTGTGTATTTTCTTCCCTTCAGTGTTATAGCTAGCTATTTATTTTTCTTTTGAAGTGCTCAGGCAGGTCTGCAGCAAATTTTTGGCACAAACACAATTATCCCTGAATGCTCCATCATTTCAAAGACCAAATTGCTGTTTTAGATTTTTCCCCTGCCTGTTAGTACTTATGAAAATTGGGCAAATGGTCCTATCTATTAACCAATTATTTAATGCAATTAGGCCGTATCCTCTTTAGACAGATGTAAAAATACTTTTTACATCATTATCATAATTGACATTTATAAATGCTGCTGCATCAGTTTGGAAAAATAAATGATTGACACATGGAGGTCAGCTCTTAATATGTGGATTTATGCCTACTGTTTACATATCAGATCAGCTCTCCGGCTAAAAACATTCGTTAATTCTCAGTTACACATCACTGAAAAATGACGCCAAGTATTCACAGTGATACTTGTTCATGGTCGTATTTCAGTACTGAATCCACTCAAATAACCTAAATGGTAATCCGTAGACTGAGGTGGGTAGGCGGAGGTTCGGCATGTGTGCGCATGTTTGTATTGGAAATAGCTTGATGCTGTGAGCATTAAAGTGTTACACACGGGCAAGTTCCCACATTTCACATTAATAAGAATGAATGAGCCCTCTCCCTGACTAGCCAGTGTCTCCTGTGCATTGCAGCCAGTCAGCAAATTAACAATTAACATTGGGTTACTCTCAAGGTTTAATGGCTAGTGAAAGGGCCCTGCAGTGTCTTTGGTGCCTCCCATTAAACAGTGCTCTTCTCCCACCCTCTCCATTGCCACAGCCTCTTAAAATGCATCCCATAAAACCTTGAATTTGATGTTTACTCTGATAATAGCAATGAGAATCAAGATGAACTGAGTTAATACCCTTTCTTTAATGATCACACCTCGCCTCAAATGACCTGCTTCTCCTGAATGGATATTAAGCATGGACTCTAAATAAAAAGTGCACATTTTTTCATGAAGAGCCTTGCCTTCAATACAAGAGCACTTGACCTCAAAATATGAATCATGAAGATTAAAAGGCTGATTAACACATTCAGTCAAGAAATTGGTGTGCGCGTATGTTATAGTATTTAATGATGTAGTTGTATGTTGATGTAATGATTAATGATGTAGATGTAATGATTGATTTGTGATTTTCCCAGTAAAAGGGTGGCATATGCCTTGCTAAAATGCATGATGAACGTGTTATCTCATTCTCAGGCCGAATACTGATAAATGATTAGTCATCCATCCAGTGGCAGTCTAAAACTAGAGTAGTCCTCATGCATCAATAACGTCACTATCTAACATCATTATTCATCTTGTTTAATTGATGTATTTTCTTTTTTTCTTGATGTATTTTCTTATTATCTTGATGTCGATGTAGATTCCTGAATGATACCTTTTTAGATAGCTTCTTTTTAATTACAAATTGAAAATGGATAGGGATTAAACTCGAAATAATTATGATGTACAGGAATTGGGTATATTTACGAACTCCGTGCAGACTGATCAAGAAGTGCTGATGATAGTAATATAGATGGAATGTAATATAGACAGCCAATCAGTAGTCTAGATTTTGGAACAAGCATGCTTATTGGCTCATAGATACTGATAAGCCTGACTGTTTAGGTGCTGACGTTCTGTATTGAATGACAATTTTTCGCTACTCTGTAAAATTGATGTCATTTGATTGGTACCATAATTACTGAATTTTGATACTTACCTGTAATAGTCATCTGTGGATTTTCATGCCAGTCAGACACAGATTTCTCAAGATTCATCCTGAAGACTTTTTTATTATTTTTTTTTTTTGGTGTATAATTCATAAAATGTACACCTACTGTTTAAATCAGTCTCTTTAATCAGTTTTGAAAAATATAAAACCAACTCACAACCAGGCTAACAGCCTTCATGTGGTGGCATTAGTTCTAATGCAGTTTTACAACTAAGCATCCCAAAGTAAACAATGAGGGAAATCCCTCTCGTATGCGATTGCATTGATTTACCAGACTTTTTAGCAACTGTTACTAGTTCCTCTTTTTATTACAGTTAACCTCACCTATGGGGTAAGTTATAACATTTACACTCCATGTATTTTGTCTGAATTGTTCACAGATGGTAGGTACCGGAAAAGAGAGTTTATGTTTTCATTTGTAGCAGAGATGTGCAGGTGGCTTGTATAATACTACTACTGCTACTAATAATAATAATAATAATCTTGCTCATTTTTTTATATTTAGCAGAAAGCAAAATGTGTTGTGCCTCACTCTTCTTAGTCATAACTTATAAGAAAGCATATCTCCAAACTGGGGGACAACAATGGAACTTGATAAGAATTAGCACAATTTACATGAAGATGCTGCCTCTCATTTATCTCAGACTTGAATATTCAATAGTGATATGTTACATGCGTATATAGCTTTGGGTGCATTTTAATTCTGGTCATTAAAATGGCCCCCGCCCTCTCAAAGGGGCATGGGTTCCTTTGTGGATGATGAATTTGAGGAGTGGTTCAGGGGTCTGTAAATGTTACTCACACGTTGCAAGCAAGTGCTAGGGTCCAGCATTAGAGCGAGATGGGCTTGTGATTAATATGAAAATTAGGAGAATGCAAGTACCTGAACTAATCAGGGAGTTCTTATTCAGGCCGGCCCACCTTTGGTAATGTTGCCATTTTTCAAGTGTCAGTCCTGATGTGGGTTACTGCAGTGGCTATGCACTCCTTATTCTGCGATATTTAAATGTGTGTGCGTGTGTGAGAGAGAGAGGGGGAAAGAGAGAAAGAGAAAGATAATGGGGAAGAGAAGCCAAGAGACCTGCAGGCTAAAAAAGACGAGAGAGCACTCAGAGAAAGCAAACCCCTAATGAAGATGAATACTGTCTCCTTACTGCCGTAATAATTATAGACATGTTTGGTCTTTGTTGAGGCTACATTCTGTATGCAGAATTATGGAGATGTTAACAAACAGCACCGCCAGTAAATCTCTTTGTGTTGTGTGTGGACCGCTTCAAGCGGCTCCAGGAAGGATCACAGAGGAGATAAAACGCTACAATCGAGCTATAAGCAGAGCAGGAACTCACTTTTGGAGCCCCAATTATGCTAACAAGACGAAGGAATGTTTTCCGGCAGTGATATTTCCCAGTTTCACAACAGAGGGGAGAAAAATGGCTCAAATACACCAAAGATGTTTAATGAACTAAATAGGCAAGGGGATTAGCCTGTAATGTTATCTTTCTTTTCCACCCTCCCTGAGCGCATCTTATTCTGGCCAAATTCTTACTGTATTTCTTTCGTCTGTGCTATATGTTTGCTCCAGCTGATTTTATGCACTAATTATTTTTGCTGCTACATTGTATTCTCCAAGCACTCCTAGAAACAAGTTATTGAAACCCATTAATTATCCACCATCCCAGCTCGGGATACGGGATTTTGAGAGAGGGAGGCAGGGTGGAGAAAGCATGGATGAGTTGCCATTGGTGTCAGCCTGTACTCACAGACGAGCTTAAAATGAGCCATAGGTGCCGTGCTACATGTCAGGCTCTGTCTTGATCTTCCAACCTGCGCTTGCACGTTTCAAGGTGTTTTTACCTTCAAAGAGCTGCTCTGCTACTGGTCCTTCCTTTCTTTCTTTTAGTTAGAGAGGGTTCCTAGGCCCTGCCATCAGCTCCACCCTTACCCAGCATCTCATATGGAAATGCTATGCTCTGTGTTATGAAAGGATTTGTGTCATTTAAAGGGCCCATATCCTACATTTTCTTCATGTTTCTTTTGCATTTCCCTTTTATTTTTCTCTCTAAAGGCCCACTTAATATATGTATGGATTTATGTCCAAAAAACACTCATCATTAATTTTTAAATGGCTACTTTCCAACCTATCTTTATCCCTTAAATTTAAATTAAGAACTGTTTTGGTTACTGTGTTTGGTTACTGTGTCATAAATGATGTTCTTATTGGCTGCCTGTATTGTGCCTCATTAACTGAATACAGAATGATGTCTTGTAAGATTGCACAATGTATTGTTAATAGCACAAACCACAAAAATGTGCATACAAAATATATTTGTGTGCTGTTAGCAAATAGTTTATGTGCTGTTAGCACCCTGACCAGCCTGTTTTAGTCTTCAGCTTTTGTCTTTTTGGTATGTACTTACATGTTATTTTCTGCATTCATAATAGAATGGTGTTAAATTAAGGAAGATGTGTGGTAGGACTGCACAATATATTTGATGAATGTATTTATCAAAGCAAAGATAGAAAACACTCAACAGAAATGACCACAACACCCAATAAAACTTTTTTTGATTTGTTAGAAGACTTTTTTTCTGATGAGCATTCGGTGTATGCTTTGATGAATCAAGGTATTTCAATACCATGTATTTACCTTGTAAATGATTTTGGTCAAGATATACAGGCAGTCAAAAGACAGCATATTTTATAACTGTCTTTTTTTTTTATTATTATTGCAAAGAATAGCACACTCGCAATAAATAGCACAATGTTGTACAGCTCTAATTTGTTATATGTCCTGCTGGATTGAACACTAAAACTGTCATACTGTTTTGTATGTATTGCATCCGTTTGTAATACAGTATATTTGCTACAGTATATATGCAGTCACTTCTGATCACATGATAAAAATAAGAAATCATTATCAAAAACATTTTATACATATCCTGTTCTGAAAAGACTCTTAATTGAAGGATGAGTTTTGGTTTACTGCCTGCTAATTGCTAGAGGCTCATCTGTATGCTTTAAAAGGCTGAATGTAATTGAGCTACGTTATATTATTGTCTGAGACATGTAATGTGTCAGGACAGTGAAAAAGTCTCAGAATAGATTCAGAGACTCAGAATGTCCCTACTTCTGTATGCTTTTAATTATTTTCTGTTTAGAATTAAGTTAACCCTTGAAAATTGCAGTTCTGCATCATGACGTAACAAAAGCATGGTATGATTTGATGTTAGTTTGATTGCTCTAGCTTATTATTAAGTAAGTGAAGAACTTCGCAGAAGTGCAAGTTCTGACTGTTCCATCGATACCACATTTGAATTTAGAAGTAGAAGAGGAGATTTTATTATAGTCTTTTTTTTGTCACTTTTTTGTCATTACTTGACTTTGACAGAAAATAGGGCAGACTTGAAACTTTTGGTACAGAATGTAGTTCAGTTGTAAATACAATTTACTGTATAGCTTGCTATTTAATTAAATATGTAAATACAGTTATATTTGAATAGAACAACAAAGCAACAGTGATAACTCAATTTTTAAGGACTCATCTTTGAGAACTAGATAATCCTAAAATCTTACTATAGCAATGTCTGGATCCTGTGTTGTCTTGTTCCTCAGGTGGATCTGTCTCCATCTCTCATGGCTCGTCTGCTGGTGGAGCGCTTCCTTGAGGAGCAGCAGGGTTCAGTGTGTGAGTAGAGCCGCTTATTTTGCACCCCCACGCTCCTAATGAGACACACATAGGGCCTGCCAGTAGAACCTGCGGCACATGACTGACAATTAAGTGCTCGGCAGACCACCCACCACTTAACTGCTGTTTAGATCAATGCTTTTTCATTTAATCAGTGTTATTTATATCCCCTATTTTTTCCTCTTCTACCTTTCTGTCCTCCCTTCCTCTGTAGAAAATCGAATCTTATTCAGATACTATAATATCATGTGTTTTTAAAAAGGTTGACTTTTTTTAGTTTATAAGAACTGCCATAAATAGTTTGTTTAAATGGTTTTGACACCTAAAATTCAGGGGAAATTACATTCTGATGTATTTTTTTTTTAAAAAGATGGGCTAAATGGCACTGATGTTTAAATTTGTTGGGCTGGTTGATGAATGCACCTTAAATATATAAAAATGTCTGTGTACTAGCATGTGTCTTGAATACATTATGCATTTAAATTACACATAATAGTGAATGGAATAGGTAAATATAGAATTGTGTTTCAGTGAATAGTAGCTGTGTTTGTGAAGACCGGTATTGTTATACAGCAAAGATAATCAGGCTATAATATTCTACAGGAAGTAGGTTTTTTTTTTTTTGTCAAACATTTAAGAACTGAGAGTATAGCATGACATGGCTTGTCAATCACATACAGTTCATATCTGTTCTAACCAAATCAAATGACTTTATCCAAGGTTTAGATCTGTTTTGCATGCAGGATTTGAGAGAATAGGCACAGGTGTGTTTGTGTCTTGCCTCTTGCATGCACTCATTGCCTCTCTGTTCTTGTTTTTCAAGGATTTTCCTTTTTTTATTTGCACCTTGATGTCAGTAAGGTTTGACATCCTATTTCTTCCTTTGAGCATTCATTTGAATGCATTTGCAGTGGTAGCCTTCCCTCACTCTCTCTTCCTCTAGTATTCTCTCTCTCTCTCTCTCTCTCTCGTTCTTTTTATTTCTTTCTCTCTCTCTCTCTCTCTCTCTCTCTCTCACTCTCTCTCTCACTCTCTATCGCTCTCTCTTGCCCTCCTTCCATCTTTCAGATACTGTACATGTACACACTCACATCCATACACCCTGACTCCATATCATTCTAGCAGGCACATCTCTGCACAAAACCAGCAGAAGGTGCTTTATGAGAGAATCACATGATGTCAAAACTGTGTGCCTTCGATTTAATCAAGAAAGAGATTAAAGTGGATGTGTGTTATTTTCAACTCGGCCACAGCACAGCCATTTGTCAAAGTCAGGGCTGTGATTGCTTTGGACCTGCCATTATCCACTGCTTGTCAAAATAGTAGTCCTGGTACTGTGGAGAACAGGGCAATGTTCCAGAGGCCTTTTTTCCCCAGGAAAGCATTCAAAGCGTACATCCTCAGATGGTCCATAGACCTCCCCAAGATAGCTCAAAGGAAAATAGCTGTTCTGATCCACACATCAGTCAGAAATTCATGAATTTAGGTTTAGCGTGGGTTGTTCTTAGTTAAATTGACATTTGTCTTTACCACTTTGCTCTATCTTTAAGCTATGTTTTTTTACTAATAGGAATAGGGTTTACACAGCTCATTTTAATTTGCCATTTTACATCTGTACATCAGGTGTTGTTTATATAGGTAGAGCCCTGCTGCAGCTTTCTGGTAATCTGGTCAGGGTGACTTCTATTTTGACATCAATGGCCTGTCCTCCTCCTTCCCACTGCTGACCTGACTGGCCTTTGGCAAATTCGGTGCACATGGGCTCCACGGTCAAATCTTTGAATCTCCCTGTGTGTATATTAGAGTTTTGTAATGTGTTTCCATTATGAAGCAATGCAAGGATAATTGTCTTTGGTGGCAATTAGCTAACAGGTTTGTTCAGTGCTATTGGCAGGCACATCCATCATTCCCTACCCCCACTTGCACAGACCTGGTGTGTGTTTGCGTGTGTATATGTGTGTGTGTTTATGTGTGTTTCTGGTGAACTGCATGAATCGATAGACTTCTGTATAAGGGACCTTGTCTCCAAGTCACTGAGCGACTTGTTGTTACCTAGTACCATCATTTTTATTCCCTTTCTTTCCCCTTTGCATTTAAGAGATATAGAAATTGCACCTTTGGGACTGTGGAATATATACACAATCACTTGGTTAGAATCAATAAAGAGTTTTAAATTGTTTCTCATCTCTTCCTGACTCTGTTTGTCGTGTGTGTGTGTGTGTGTGTGTGTGTGTGTGTGTGTGTGTGTGTATGTGTGTGTGATTTCCCCAGACCACTAAAGCAGCATATAAACAGGCAAGGCCCAGGATAGGTTGGCTGTGCATGTAAATAAATCAATACATTCAGAGCGGTTTCTTCATGTATTGAATATAATATCAACATCCATAATGCTTCCCTTCTGCCAAGAGTGCCAAGGGAAAGGGAGAGACTGCTGTAGGAAGACTGGTTGGGGGTTTCTTGTTCTTAGAATGCCAGCAAATTAAACATTGCTTTGCCAGTGTGTGTTCTTGTTATTCGGTCATTCTTTCTTAATCTCAGCAAAATTTGATTAAAGTGCCATAGCATAGAAATGCATATCCCATTAATAGTTAAAGGGTCCATATATTAGAAAAACAAAATTCTCTTGCTTTTTTTGTATGTAAACATTGCTGAAGTTTCAAAATGTACCATTTACTTACCCTCAGTACAATCCATATATAAATATTAATTTGCAAAAATGGCCCGTTTGGAATCCATTGTTTTTGTGATGTCACAAAAACCATGTTGACCTATCGACCTGTTCAGTTTGACTTGCTGATTCTCGTTTAAGTTAATGTGTTTTTGCCTGGACTGCTTTTTGAATGAGGCTCTACACAGGAGGGCCAGTCACGACACTGGTCATTTACATGGACTAAAGCTCTTTGTGTTTCAGTGGTGACAGGAGAATGTGAGAGAGCATTTTTTTTTAACAACTTACATTTTTTTAATGAAGTTAAATCCATGATAAATCTATTTTTTTTAACTTCACTTTAAAAGAAATCAAAAGGATCTTTTAAAATATAATATTTAAAAAAGATTTTAAAATGTAGAATATAGGGGTTAGCATTTGAGACATTTTCCCATTAGAAAGTACATTATGACTTTGTATGTATTTATCCTATTACTGAATCAGGTAATGCCTTGGATTTAAATAGATCATTATCTTTGTAAATGTTTAAGGTCTGATTATTGTATTGCTTTTACATTAGTTTTTTGACTCTGGAACCGCAATTTGAACTAATTTGGTAAAATAGTCCAGTCTTAAAGGCACAGTAACAAAAACAGCCTATTTGGAAAATGGTCATAAAAAAAATAATTATGACAGTTTTTGGTACATAAGCCCACACAAACATCACACTAACCTTGCAAAAAAATAAAATAAAATAAAATGCAAGGAAAAAAGTAGGATATGGCCCTTCAGTACCTTTTTCTTCCCATCATTTGATGCTAATAATGTGTGTTTGCAATTTTATCTTGTTTACATATGACCCTCTTGAGCTTATCACTGCTTATTTGTTTAGTGAAGCCCATTCTTGGAGTATATCAGAAAATTTACCTGCTAACTGAGCCTCTCTCTCAATCTCTATCTGTTCTTTCTCAGACTCCCTCCACCTCTCTCTCTGGGTGCCTCCCTGACATGATTTGAAGTGGTGCTAGATTTAGATACACTTTTTTTGAGGAGGCAATTTTGTGAGCTGTTTGACCTTTTCCATTTTCCCAAGGCCTAACATGAGATTAGATCCCTACTACAGCCTTTCTAACAATGTGATTGGACTTGTTTAAGATTTATTGTCATATTGTGTTTGGTCACCTAAGCTTTATAGCACAGCACTGGTTGGGTGGGGGGTGGTAGGTCAGTGTATATGAGTGGGCTTTGGTGCTGTGTTCCTGTATGGGCCCATACTGATGGGCTGAAAAATAAAAATTTTGTTTCCAATACATCTCGTTATACGGCATTAGAGAGCGTCCCCATATTGACTCTAATTGTAGGTAGAGCGTGCGATACAGATCGTTTTAGGTTTTGAATAATGAGATCCACAGCCTCTTCATTAGCAGCAGGAGCAGAGCGGAACAGAGAGGCATACGCGTGGTGAGACGACTGGGAGGCGGAGGGGTTTGGGTGAGGTAAGCAGGTGCGTGGCACTTGGCTTGACAAGTATACTAATTACTGGAGTAGAGCAGAGGAGCTGGAGTCAGGCTCGGTACGGGGAGAAGCTCTGACCCAGGCCCAACCTGCTCTCTGCTATCAGCCACAATCAGGCACAGGCAGATCAGTTCTGCTCCACTAACTCTGCTGGGACCTGGCTCCTCCAGCACTGCTCGTACACCTCTCCAACCTGCACCTCCAACCACCACTGCACCAAAGGTGGAGGAAGGAAAGCACTCCTCCCACCCCCCCGCCACCACCAGAGAGCGAGAGGGAGGATGGATTTAAAAGAAGTAAATTGGAAAATCAAATGAGGGCTTTAGGCAGCCAGCGAGATTTGCAGAGCTGTCCGCCAGGGTCTGAGAGGCTCATCCATCATGTCCCACAAGTAGTCAATTCCTCTAGTATCTGTAAATGTTTTCAGATATTAGCCAATTTATATGCTCCAAGATTCATCATGGAAAATCAGCTTTAGCGGTGCGCGTTATCAGGACCCGTCTCTCCTTTGCACCATGAAGTTTGATGTATGAGCGCCTCCGCAGCTCAATGGGTTGTGCGCTGGAACCACGAAGGCTGTTAAGAAAAAAAAAGTGGGTTATTTTAATTAATAAACAAACTTGCATAGGAGCTCATCAGTGTCAGGGGCAATAACGATCGTCATCCATTATTGTTTATTACGGTCCTCCCTCAACAAATGTTGCCTTCTAATGAGGTTTCTTTCAATTTTTTTGACTTAGATAATGACTTTTTCATCCTAGTGGAGAAGGAGAGAAGATATAAATGATAGGACTAAGGGGAGAGAAATCATGCAAGGTTAGGCTCATTTCTCCTGCCCCATTCATCATTTCATCAGAGCCTGATAAAGGCGCTGTTGTTTTTCTTTTCCTTTTGTAAACACCAGTTCTGTGTTCATGTACAAGTCCCAGAGGAGGTGAAGCTTTTCTCTTTAGTATTCTCCTCCTCTGCGTGCTTCCCCAGATAAGGATACCTCAGTCAGAATTTATGCCGACATGGGACAATTACAATAAATTTGGTGTGTATTTACAGTGCTCTGTTGTGTGTTGTTAAGTCACGCTGCAGGGCTTTGTGAGTGTGTGCGTGCGTGGCTCGGGTAGGGGGTTTGCGGTGTGTGTGTGCGCAAGGCGGAGGCGTCTTTAATAAATGTATGCTGATGTTCGAGGCTGCAGTGATGCGAGGATGTTAGGCTCTGTTGTTATTTACTAGGCTGTTTGGGCGCAGCGGCGGATCCTGGGCTGCAAATGGCATTACTGCTGGTGATGAATGAGCATTAGGGTAAACTCATTTTAAAAGCAGCCTGATTTATTAGTGCTCTGGCCTTCCGTTTTCATCAGGTCAGTGCATGGCTGAAACCTCACAATGTCAGCTCCAAGGTCACCCTGTTTACGATTATTTTTAACCTCATCCTTCACAAAATGGAGGGAGAAAAAAGCTCCTTTTCACATATCGTCCTGTGAAAAGGAAAGAAAACATAAGGCAACATGAAGGGAGAACATCAGGCAAATGAAAAGCAGGAATGCAATCTGCGTAAACGATGTAGCATGTGGTGTGAGCAGCACCAAAATTTGATGGTGGTCAACCTCCAATTATGAGTGCTAGTAAGACAAGAGCTTTAATGGCCGCTGTTTGCCTTCAGGGAGGTTTATTACACAGTACTGTTTTGCAGGAGCAGCGTCAAATCTATAAAACTACCATTAGGAGGAAAAAATCAATCAAAATGCCATTAAAGTGGAATAAGTTGCCAATATTGCTGATGTGGTTGTGGGTCCTTTGATTTTCTTTCAGATTATTAGGCACAGTCGAGTAGTGACTTTGTTAAGGGAAACGAGTGTTGTTGGGGAGTAATATGTCTCCTGGCTTCATAAAGTTTGCTGCCTCATATTTCCCGCTTTATTGATTATCCATTATCATTTGTCATGAGGTGTCCTAACTCAAGGGGAAAATATAACCCTCTTTCTTCAGTGTCGAGCAGCGCGGGAGCACTGTATAGATCTGCGTGTGAAGGTACCAATCTCAGAGAAAAATGAGTGGAGAAATAAGGTGTTGCCTGTGCCTGGCAGGCCTGGGCTCGGCTGTAGAGAGGTAGAGGAGTGCTGACTGTGCTTTGTTCTGTCTTTCTCTGCACCTCTTTCCTTGCCTCTTTTAGCAGCAGCAAGAATAGTGTTAAGATCACAGCCTTGTATTTGTTATTCCTCCACCAGGAATGAGACACAAGGAGCAGCACCTCAGAGAGAGAGCTGGAAGAAGGAGGAGAAGGGGAGTGAGAGCAGATAGTTTATAGATCATAGTATGAAGATGTGCATAGGATGAAGATCATAGAGAAGGTTGCCAGAGCTTAAAGCACCTCTTTAGTTCTTAGAAATCTCTTTTGTTTTAATCACCCTATATTTCTAAAGGTGCTTCACCAAATCTCAGCTACATCTCACTCTCTCCAATTGGCTTAACATGCCCTTTCATGACTCTCATATTGCAGATAGAAACATTCCTTGAATTGTCACCACAGCAGTGCATCTGTCATGACCATATGTATATATCATTAGAATGGCATGCCTCCACCATTTCGTCACACAGTGATACAATCCATTTAATCGGAATCTGTTTGAAAAATGATTTAGGGAATTTTGCCGTTGCGGTAATAGGAAATCAATCTAGTGGCTTGTGGCCCTGATTTATAATGTTAGTGCTGCATGAATGGGGTGAGAGATGCAAAATATTCATCCTTCATAACATAGATAAACTGCATGGTGTGCTGGCTCTGCAGAGTGAAGCATTTATCTACGCAAAATCTCAATAGGCTCTGAGCTTCCACTCAATTGAGTAGCATTGGAAGTAGCGCACATATCGGAGTAAGTGGTGTAAAATATGGCATTTGCGTCTGTATCTTCACTAAAAGCAGTATATCACTGCCACTAGCTAGTCAATTACACAAATCAACTTTTATTTTGTTTTTAGTTTTTTCCTATAGAAGTGTCTGGGTTACAAGGTTGTTGTTACATGCTAGTAATAATGTTTAAAATTGTAATTGTGCGTATGTTTTTTTCTTTTTTTCTTCCTCTCTGTCCTCAGCCTCTAAGCAAGTTTTGAATAGCATGTTGCGGGAGCCATCTTTAATTCCAGACATCCAGTTAGCCAAACATGTGGAACAGGTATGATCACTGTCAGCCATTGTGATTTGTGATGCAAATGTACCAAATAGTAATTGACAGAGATTAGAAATGAAAAAAAAAACTATATATATTTTGGTTTCTAATGAACAGAAGTGTTGTTTTGTCCCTGTTTGTTTATTTGAATTTGGTTAAAGAAAACCTAATTTTAAAGAAAATTAATATTTATGTTGTTGCTGTCCAAAACAAAACCTTCTATATCTATTCCTTTATTTTATTTAAAAACAACAAAACAAAACAAAAAAAAAAATGTGAAAAAAACAGCTGGCCTTTACCTTGTGTCAGAATGTCATAATGGAAAGATAAATGGAAATGATGAAAATACTTTAAAATAGAATCTTGTTAGATTAATTTACTTTGAAAGATAAAGTTTTTGCTTCTCCTGTAATTTTTTTCTGGTGAAACAAGGTTTTGTTCTGATAGCAATAGCAATCAACCAACTAGCTGACTAACTTTATCCAAAGTCTGGGCTAACTGGTTATTCATAACAGTTTGTTGGCTATTTCAGTTATAAGTGACAAAAGTCTAATGATTGAGAAAACAGTGTAAGGTAATGTTATGACCAAAAGAAATCTAGCTGAAATATACTCATCTCAAAGAAAAAAAGTAGGCATAACATTTGTTATTCTCTGAAAAAATATTGTGTTTTTTGGTTCCTGTTTTCTAATTTCATTTTAGTGTCTAATGCTTAATAGGTAACAAATAATTAGTTTTTAACTGAGATGCTACTCCAAGAATGTCCATAGAAACTTAACGATTTTGTTTGTAAATGGTATGAATGGAGTATGCAGATCCAGCAGGGTGGGTGGCCCTGTGTCTAGCTGATATAAATAATCCAACATCTCATATTTGCTAATAGCCTCATGTGTGCAGCTGCATTGGTGCGTGGCATGGAGTCGCCTCCAGTATTTCCTCTTTTTCTCCTATCAGTTTAACGGGTGCACCCCTCCAAACCCCCCCTCCCAAATGCTGTAATATTTCTTCTCCCTCTTTTCAGTGCACAATAAATGACTGCTGTTATGGGCCGCTGGTAGACTGCATCAAACAGTATCCTTTCCCATAAAATTTTAAGCCTCAAATTGACGAGGAGCTATTCAGTGGGATGAGATGTGTCGAGCATCACCTGACATAAAAGTTCTGCTTGAGTAGGGGTAGTGTGTGTATGTGTGCCTGTATATGACTGTGTGTGTGTGTATGTGTGTATATATATATATATATATATATATATATATATATATATATATATATGCGTGTGTGTGTGTGTGTGTGTGTGAGAATGAGGGATAGATGCATATAGAGAGATGAGCAGCTTTATCTCTATATGCACTCTGCATCAGGGCCAGGGTTTTATACCACACTGCGTACCCTTTCACAGGCTGTTCGTATACGTTGTTTCCTTTGGTGGTGTGTAATACACACTGTTCAAAGGACAGGCCTCTTTTGATACAGGCTGCTAACAGAAAGGAGGAGGCAGATTATAGACCTTGCCACAGTAATTGCACAATTTTCCAACTTACCAAAGTTAAGTTAAACTTTACCATATATCTAAGGGAAGTGGGCTTTGATTGCATACATGTCATGCAGGCATATGGACACTAGGTTACATTCTCAATTTCTGTTGTCAGTTTGAAAATTCAAGATTAGCAGTTACTGATAAAAAGAGACAACAGTGTGCCAGCATGACGTTCAAGCATGCAAATAGGAATCGGATTTTGGCAAATCACCCGTTCAGCGTTCAGCTTCACAGTGACATTTTGTTCATTTGTGAAGTTCACAGTAAGTCATGCTGAGTCCTAAAACACATCAGCAAGTCTGCTTGACCTTAAAGGGGAATTCAGATGTGTTTTTTTTTTTGTTTTTTTTTTTGTCAGCGTAATGAAATTGTCATTCAAAGTTAGGGCTGCACAATATTGCTATAAAATGCAATGTTCGATAAAGCTGACAGGTATCGTGATGATATGAGAAGTGATAAATTACTATTAAAATAATGTCTGTGGCTGGATGTAACGCACATGCAGACATTTATTTTGGGATGTATAAACAAAAAATCTTAACTAACCTCTTTTTAAACCCCTCTTCAAACAAATAGCAAAATACAAAATTACAAAAGCACCGTTTACTATGCTGCAAAGTAAAAGTATTTCACAAAGTGAAATACTAAGAACTATTTAGATAAGCACTGCAAGCACATTTCTTTACACTGAAGGCCTGAGAAACAGTCAGCATTACCTTAACAGCTTTTTCTATAAAGGCAACAAAACCAAATAAATAAATAATATTTTTTTATATAGGCACACAAGAACAAATACAAATTCTTGTTTCATTTTTGTGAAGTTATTAAATATTGTGGTGTCTGGGTTGTATTTTGTTTAAAAATAATGTTGTTCTTGCTTTTGGTTGAGTGTAGTTAAGAAAGTATGTAGAGAAACAGGTGGACTACAGCAATTATGGAACTGCAAAAGCTCCTGTGTGGTAAGCAGAGCTAATAAAATGGAGTGTGTAGACACAACATAGGAGTTCCTAATAAAGTGCTCAGTGAGTGTACATTGCTTTGTGTTAGTTTTGTGATGAGTTTTGCCTAAAATGTATTTATGTATTTATTTGTTTTAATGTTACATTTATGGCACAAAGGTACATGTAGCACGCTGGAAAGCAAAACAATACCCAAAGAAAAGTTTTTTTTTTTCCCCAGATTTACTGCTATTTACCATTTAAAAACGTGTAGGTTCACTGGTTTTATATCGTAAATAAAATTACTGTTTTATTGTTTACCTTTTAGACATTGTGACCCCTGGTTCATATCAGCACCTTTTGTAAAGAAATTACAGTCTGTAAATGTCTTTAAAATACCACATTTCGCATTAAAACAATATGAATGACTTTGTTTACATCCCAACAAAGCAGAAACGACTTGCATATCCATTGTCTTCTAGTGTGTTGTTAGCAAAGTTAGCTTTATAGCTCCAGCGCTGAGCTAATGAAGCTAAATTTTAACACCAAACTTATTCTTGCTGGTCTACATCTGGGATTGGGGGAATAATCTTTAAGATTATGCCCTTTTGCATAGTCATTCATGCATGAGATATATAAATATATATCATAGACATATTTATCATATACAACAGACGCATATGTAGTGATCTTTCTTTCAGCTGTGAGGATTTTGAACACAATATATTTGTTTTCTTACATTTTCATATTTGAGTCAGAAGACTTTTGAAAAGAAAATCATTTTTAGATTCTCTCCTTGGTGAGAAACAAGCCTTATTCTTTTCCACCTGTGTGTTTATAGGTGATTTATCAGCACCTTGGAGAGTTCTTGGCATGTCACCATGGTTGTCAAATGTACCTTTCTCTATCCTTTATCCTTCGGTCATGATTCTTATCCTCTTTCAGGCTGCTTCTTTGTCTCTGACCACAGCACTCTCATTCTATTTTACTCTGACTCATAGTTCTGGCAACAGTCTCTTATCGGAGCACTGATGCAGTCCCAGCGATCAGAGAGCAGGAGATGGGCAGTTATGGGCTGTCAGAATCGGGTCATCACATGCACACGCTGCACCCTTGAGACTTGTGTGTTTGTATGTGTGCGTGAGACAAAAAGGAGTGGTCAGTCTGCATGCTGTTTAGGGACGTACAGCTGGGGACCACACTAGGCTCTTCTGTTCCTGGCCAGTCAACCCTTTCCCGCCCTGCCCTCCATCTTCATCCTGCCTCTTTACCTCTTTTCACACTTCTCCCTCCAGCATTGCTCCTCATTCTCTTGCGTTCCCTCTGAGGGTTCATCATGCCAGCCCACTCGGTCTTCTTCTGGCGCTGCACCGTGACATCAGTGGACTTGCTTCAGTGCCTGCACTCAGCCACCATTATAATGACCTAACTAGTCACTCTTTTCAGTGGACTGTCTATATAGAAAAGGAATGTGAGTTTATTTAGCAAGAGTTAAGCATCTATATCTCAGTAGCCTAAATATCAGTAATCTGAAATCTACAATGAGTAGGATTTTGTTCCTTCAATGATGGTAACTGTTTAATAAAAAAAGATGTTCTTAAAATAGAATTTATGTAATGAGATTACATTAAAATAATACAAGGAAAATGTAATTTTGGACCATTTCTGTTGGTCTGTTTTCCACTAAAATTTCATACAATTTAATCGACAACATAAAAAAAGACAAAACTAGAGTTATGAGACAACAACAATGTGCACTATTTCTCTTATCCAAGTTTGAGATTATGCTGTATAGACTAGAGCTGCAATGTTCTTTTGCCTCAAGGCATACCTTTTAATCCACCATGACATTTTTTATCATCTTCAAATGTAATTTAGAGTGATTGTGATGTTCATTTCAAGCATCGTTTAGCTGTTGAAAAAGCATCATGCACAGTCATGTTGACTGTCAAGTTTATTGCAGCTGCCACTCCCAGGCATGCATATTATAATAAATCACACAAACAATCGTACACTCTTCTGTTGTTGCCACAGCAACACTGCTTAGCAGCCTGAGCGTTTCCATAGCAACCTGCATGCAGGTAAAATGTCCCCATTTCTGAATCGGGCAACTCAGATTTGGGAATAGTTTTGTGGTAATTCTGTTTAATCAGAACAAAGAATCTTACCTGAATATGTGTTTAGAAGCAACCTGATGGGAATCATACTCAGACTTTATTTTTTCAAAAAAAGTTACTTCTTGCATCTCCTTAACTCCAAACCAACAGTGCTATAGGCCAAGAGCATGAGGAAATTCTGCGGGAGAAACTCAGAGAGAGGAACTTGTCCTTTTTAGGTAAGCTGCAGGTCCTTTTCAGCCCCATTTCTTATAAAAATATACTGTCCCTTTATTACTGACAGTCATTTTTTAAATATCATTTGTTAATGAATGTTGTTCCTGTTGACATGAAATCAGTCTATGCGTGCAACCGTCAACTTCAACTTATATCTACTGCAAGTAGCTGCTAGCGTTTTTAAAATGATTTATAACATAAAATTTTATCCCTAACTTAAGCATCATGACGTTTAAGGTCGAGGTGGTGAGTGGCCAGGTGTGAAATTCCCCATTTCTTTCCTATCTCACTACCCCAGAGAAGAGAAAGAGGGGGCTTATAGAATCAGTCTTTCTGTCATTAAGAAGATATCATTTATTTGGGCCCCCAGTGCTGACCTTACTGGGGGCGGCTGGGAGGACTGTTCTAAAACTGTCAAAGTTTGGGCGCTGGGGCCACAGAGGCAGCCTCACCTAGCTGATAAATGGATTGGAAATAAGCTCCCCAACAGTAGGGACGGCCCATTAATTTTAATCAAAGGTGATGTAAAAAGGCGATCGGCGCCGCATGACAATGTCAACAGCCCGGTAGGTGTTAAGAGAGAGACCACACAGCCCGGACCCTCTCACCGCCAGAGACCTTCGCCTCTCTTCCCCCTCACCCCATTAGTCGAGCTTGGCTGAAGACAGAGAGGCCAGCCTCTGGAATTGAATGACCTGGTCAGCCTGAGATTTAATGGAGAAATCAGGTGTTCCACGGATAATGGTCGAACCGCGCCAGGAGTCAAGGACAATGGCTGAGGCACACGCGCACAGGGGTCATGCTTTCAGCTGCTATAATGCCAGCCCTATCCTTTCTGTTCTTTATGAAGCTCACCAGCCCCACACACTCCACAACCAACCTGCCTCGATGGATTTTTGTGCAGTGGTTGCAAATAGTTGGCAGATGGAATGGCTTTGCTTTTTTACTGTGTGGAAGAGGCTTGTGCTTTTGAGGCGTATGTGGCTTTACTCGATGTGCTTTGTAGAAAATCAAGATGTAAGTGAGGTAGCGCAGGAAGCATTGGGCTATTTTTTTTTCTTTGTTCATTCCTTTGTTTTCAAATGCTTTTTTACTCCGATGCTTTTTCATTTCAGCTTTGTATGATGTTTTAGGTCAGTGATCTGGAAGCAAATAGCGCACCTCATGCTGTTTTATTTTTAGAGCCCTACTCAAGTACGGCAAAGGTCATTTTTGTCACTTAAGAACCTTTGACTTCTGTGGAATTTGTTTATTACAGTTTAAGTAATTGCCTTACAATGTATCCCCTCAGATGAGAATCATCTACGGGCCAAGGGTTACGACAAGACCCCTGACATTATCCTAGAAGTCCCAATTGGTGAGTTTCTGTAAAATCAAGAAAGAATTTTGGACTGTTTGAGTAAGCAGCCACTGCTGTAGGCCTGCAGATACATCATACACAATAACAAACGCCAAGATAATTTTACAGTAATGCCATTCCATCCCTCATGTTGAATTTTATTCAAAGATATACCATTAAAGCAGTTTTGCATGAAAATACCACATCACCTCAGAAGAGGTTTTCCTTATGATAAAATTTACTTCAGTCAAACACCTGTCAGATAGATTTATACATTCACTGTTCCTCAGTGTGGGTACTGAGTTTCCATTCACAAGGCCATGTCAGAATGTGTATAGCATAACCACTTTCCTCACATTTGAAACTTCTCTTCAAACTCACAGCTGTTGAAGGCCACATTGTTCACTGGATTGAAAGCAAGGCCTCATTTGGGGATGAGCAGAGCCATCGCACGTACCTGAACGAGCAGTTCTGGAGCTACTGGAACAGGTCAGAACCTCCACAAACCTCAAATCTTTTCCAGCTTTTTATTTATTTATACATACATATTAAGGACAATGAAATAGCAGCAAAAAAACTTCAGGTTAAAATAATAAAATAATGTGCAGTACAATATAATAATGTGTGCCATAATGTGTAATAATGAAATAATGAAAAAAGAGCAAAGGAGCTTGTGCTTCCCACAAGCATTGCACATATGAAGAATGCAGAGGACAAATGCACAGGAATAAATAAACAAAAAATAAGAAAGAAGAATATCAATATGAAGAAGGGCAACTTAAAATAGAAAAAAGAAGAACATCCATCCAACCATGAGATCAGTTCTGTTTGTATTTTTTTCTTTTAAATAGTAAGACTGTTACAGGTTTTAAATTAGGTGGCAAACAGTTCTAACAGTGTTTGTTGCTATTGCCTTTTGTAATCCCTTTTTTCATCACAGTGCCTTTGAACTTATACAATTTGAATCATTCTCTTTTTTTCCTCATTCTTCGCTTTCACTTTATGATAAATTAGACAGCAGTGTAAACTCAGATTGATTGTGGTCAAGTGCTTTTTCTGTGTAATTTTGAAGGGGAAAAAAGATTTATTGTCATAGCCAGTGCCAAGTGACTGTAGAGTTAAAATAGATTTGCATGAGAACACAAGAACTTCACTAAACAAATGTTGATACTCAACTACAGCACAGCGTCACAGGACAAGCATTGATGGTATTCAGGCTGTATTCTGATTAGAGATGGGCAATGATATCAGAATCAGATTGATATCAGCAGATATTTGCTGTGTGTGTGTGTGTGTGTGTGTGTGTCTGTGTGTGTGTGTGTTTATCTCACTGTTGTTGGAAGAAAACCATGTATCTCCAAAATGGTAACTTTACAGGTAAAGGAAAAAACCTGCTTTAGTTGTAATGTAAGTCAATGGAACCTGACTTTTTTGTAAATTGTTTTGGGACACTTCTTTTGGTCCCAACTGTAAAGGACAACAGGCATTTTCAGATTATGTGAAAAACTGAAAAACGACAAAAATGGAGATACAAGGTTTTGTTCCAACAGCAGATATCTGTCTGTCTATCTATCTATATATCTATCTATATATCTATCTGTATATCTATATATATATATATATATATATATATATATATATATATATATATATATATATATATATATATATGTGTGTATATATATATATATATAGATATATGTACACGTACTTATACGTACTACGTATACATGTATTACGTATTACATGCTCACATATGTTTGTGTATATATGTATGTGTGTGTGAGTATATATGTGCGTGTGTGTGTGTGTATATATATATATATATATATTTGGCACTCACACACACATATACACCAGGTATCTAAATAAAATATACTGTCATTGCCCAACACAATTGCCCAACACAAGTCAGTGCATTATGATACTGATACCAATTTCTAATTGCCATTAGGCTCTATATCACAATATTGGTAAGCTCTGTTATTTCTTAGGACGTTTCAATTTCTGGCCTGTCAGGTGGAGTGGGTACAAGCCTTCATCTATTGGTTTGGAAGGATAAGAGCTGATTAGGCCCATTCGTCTCTGTAGTGGCGGACAGAAAAGGCCTGTGGCTCTTTCACTGAAGGCTGCATGCAGGGCCAACCCTCTACAGCATGAAATGAGATCATCCCCCCCACTCCCTTATTTAGCTGTCTCTCTCTGTATTTCCTTTTGCATCTGTATTTGTGTGTGTGTGTGTGTGTGTGTGTGAATGGTAGACCAAAGATGAAACTTCAGTGTGTTCTCTGAGATGATCATGTTTTTAAAAAAACAAAAAATAAAAGAGAGAAAGAAATGAACTACAGCAGGCCATCTAAGCAAGTTGTACGTTTGAGGTCATGTAAACAGCTGTTTTTGGTTTCTAGAAAAGCCTTTCTTTCCAAATGATTCATCGTTGCTGTGTCGTATTCTGCATACAACAATGAAGAAATGTGTACAGCATGAAATGATTTTCACCCCACACAAACACACAATACAGGGGAAAATACTATGTGGAGAAAGGAAGTGGAAACCAGCTGTATACCACCCATAGTTTCATCAGCATGCTCTAGTGTAGTCATTTTGCATCCATGTTAGTCTTTTTTAATATAGTACTAGCTTTTTACATGGCTGTTTCTTCAGATGAGACTCTTTGAGGTCTTCCTTGAAGGGCTTTGTTAGCTGGCTACCTTGGAGACTTCACCTTGCTGGTGAACAGATGGACATTGTGTGTATGTGTGTGGAGCTGTGGCTGTGGCGGGGGAAGTGCTCAAACGTGGCCCCGTGTGCAGAGCTGAAAGGTCACCCCCACTAGTCATGCTGAGGCTGACGGCCGGCTGACACACTGTGACATGCTGGTGCAGAGCCGCAAGCTCCTGACCCCGAACACTGTCCAGAGACAGCCACTCTAACCACGTCTGCTAGGTCAGCCAGCCACGCAAACAAAATATTACCTGTACGCTTTGGTTTTTGTTATTTGGATTGCTGTTCTTGTGTGGCTTATCTTAGTTTTGGAAGTAAGGTTTTAAAATTCACCTCTGAAAGGAAAAGATGTTGGATTTTGGTCATGGAAAGCACTGTGACCTAACAAGCAGTTTGGCCAGGAAAGGGCAACCCTCATGTCCACCTAATGATGTCTCCTGAATGTTTTTTCATGACTGGGTCGTCACCTTTTGAGCAGGAAATTAGTGAAGTTATTGTCATCATCATGATGAGCACTGGAGGCAGGGCTATATTGCAATACCCTTAGACTTTATGTAGCTGTCCTTTAAGGAATGGTTCAGCAAAATATTGTTTTCTCACTTGCAGATGTAGTCGATCTACCAAGACAGGAGTCCATATTTTGCTGTAGTCTAGCATTGGAGCTATGAAGTTTATACTGCTGGCAAATACAAAGTCAGTAGTCACCCAAATCTTTTCCATAAATACATCCTCAGAACTTCTCTCAAAATGCTTAAACTGCATCTGGGTCTTCATGAAAGTTGCACAGCCTTGTCGAGGTGGTTTAGCATACAGTATGACTTACTGTGAACTATAAAAATGAACAAAATTCCAGCATGTAGCCAAATGCTGCATAAGCCAGTTTAGAAAATTGTGTTGTGCCGTATTCCAGCTACCATTTGCATGTGTGCACGTCACATGATTTGATTGAACATCACTTGATTAGATTGACGTGTTCTGTTATTTCTGCTTTTACGGGCATTTGAAATTTGGCCCAGCACCTGTTGTCTAAAGTGGCTGCCCACAGAGATGTTTTGTTCATTTTTATACTGTAAAAGGAAAGAAGTATTCTGACACTTTTGTGTTTGCTCTTTAATACGCTGCTAGTGCATATATCCACTTCAAATTTACACACAAAATATGAACAAGAAAGTACACACTTTAAAAGATGGTTCTTCCAGGGGTCTTTAGTAAAGAAAATGATTCTATATAGAGCCATTAATACTCAAAGAACACTTTGCACAATTAGCGTTCTTAATGTTGTGAAAGGTTCTTCAGACAATGTACTGTAGATGGTTCCACAGATTACTTTTTTGAAAAAGGTTCTACAAAGCACCCAAAAAGGTTCCTCACACTTTTGGGTACTATGTAGAACCTTTTTCCAAAAGGTTCTATATAGAACCGTCTATAGCATATTCATGCACATTTTTCATCAATCCAGAGAACCATTTCTTTAAGCAAAAAACCCGTTAATCATGCAAAGGCTTCTGTTAGTGTTGAATTTCTTTACAAAAGCACCCTTGAAGATCTTTTTTTAAGATTGCAGAACTCTTTTGGTGCTATATAGGACCTTTTCAAAAAGGTTCTATATAGAACCTTCTACAGCACATTCTCCAGCAATCTAAAGAACCTTTCACAACATTAAGAACACTTTGGTTATGCAAAGTGTTTTTTGAGTGTTAATGGTTCTATGTAGAACCTTTTTCTTTACTAAAGAACCCTTGAAGAACCATAATTTTTAAGTGTGTATGTATTCGTAAGCATAAAATTTTTAGGGCCCTACAAATGAATAACATTGGTACTTTGTTGCAAAGCAACAGTTGTTGGCAATTACAGCATAAAGAATTCTACGGTAAAAGCTTTTAGCATTTTGCAGCATTTGTGGTTCAATTTCAGAAAATTCTCGTGGAAAAGTGTCTTTAATTCCCCAAAGTAATTAGGGTCTTTCTATTGAACTCGTGATTCGGGATTGAAGTCAGGATTGGTTAGGCCATGTGAGCAACTTCAGCTTTTCTAGAAACCAGTCTTGGAGTTTTGTCTGTATGTATATTTAGATTGTGGATTAGTCTACCCTCTCTTTCTTGGCATATTAGATTCAGTTCTCCTCTAATATCTCCTTGTACACTGTTCTTTTCATGTTTCCCCTGTAACCCATGTAGAGAAGCAGCCCCATGTAATGATACTTCTACCTCCGTACTTCACTGTTGTTATGGTACATTTCTTCATAATCGTAACCCTTTTTTCTTTAAACGTAAAGAGCTGAATTATTGCCAAAGCATTCTATTTTTGTTTCATTGGAGTACATTGTTTCAAAATATTTTTAATTTGTCTTAATTCTTCTGTGCATTTTTACACATTTTTTATTTATGCTTATGAATACATTTTTTTTTTGTTTGTATGTATAAGTACAAAATCAAGACATTATGTGTGTGTATATATGCACTGGAGGTATATTACATAATACAAAAAATGTCTGAAAATGTGTTTCCCCTCATTGTAGTTTATAGTACAGGGTGTCCCAAAAAAATTGACATCATTTGAGATGTGAATATGTGAGTAACTACATGTCCCTGGCAAATGGAATTAAATAGGCTTCATGTTGAATGATACAAGATTTATTTACCAAAATTCAAACAAGAAATTCAGAGGGATGTAGATTTTATAACCAATTTAACAAAGCTTCACAAATGTAATATCTGGTTGTCCAGATCCCTTTGCCCTGCAAAGACAACCTTCCTCTTTGAAATTTTTGTGCCATGTCCAAATCTGCTTTCCAGTTGGTGCATTTTTATTGAAATTTTTCGAAAATGCCCTTTCATTTCTAGTGAACGCCATTCTTCAACCTGAAAAAAAAAAACATTAAAAATTAAACTTGGTTAGTTTTTACAGATTTTATTAAAATTTGAGATCATTTGAGGGAGAATTGGCTGTTATTAGACTACAAAATGATGTCAATTTTTTTGGGACACCCTGTAAGTCATTCACTGTCCTAAACCACATCTACTCGTCTAGCCTTAATGATCACTAGATATGTTTTGAGCAGGTTGACAGGTTTTGGGGCTCTAGTTACATATGTATTTGGGTGACTGTTGCTCTAGCACTAAACTACAAAAGCAAAATGTGGACACCATACATTGATTTACTACATCTGGAAATTTATAAGTGGAAATGTATGTAAATTAGATTTTTTGACGAACCATTTCTTTAATATCCAACATCTAAGAAGGCTTATTCAAGTCATTCTGAATAGGCATCACCATTGAATTGGCTTATATTTTTGGCCAGAGCATCTTGATGTCTTTAGCAGATGCTGTGTCTCCGTGAAGATGGTTCCTGAAAAAGCGTGCAATGAGTCAAACAGAATTGCCAAGCGATGCCAAGGTCATAATCAACTGTGTGTTTTATTTTCTCCTTTTTGTGGGGTTTTATTTGGAAATCGCATGCGCTGGATCGCAAGCTGTGCTGAAGAGCTGTGGGATCAGAAGTGTGATCAGCTTTGAACAATTCAGCTTTTAGCAAGCCTTATTAAAAACCTTAAAAAAGTTGCTGACCAGAAAATATTGGCCCATGATTGAGAACATTCCTAGACTATGAGGGATGTAGCATTTAATGAGACAACACTTGAATGAAAACTGTGCTAGTCAATCAAAAATGACATGATATAGGACTAAAAACATATCCTTTTTTTCCCATTATCCTCTATGATGAGAGACACAGGCCCTGCAGGCCTCTGAATAGTCATATGATTTATCAGTCCTCCTCACTATATCTGATACGGTTGTATTCATAATGATAGTTGGGCTCTAATACAGGTGATTTAGAATTGCAGATTCTATAAAGATGTAATGTACATGACAGCGAGGGACCTTCACATTGGCATTCAGCAGCGGCTTTCGGCTTGTGCGCGGAGAGACCTGACAGTGCAGATGCCGTCATGTTTGTGGGCTGCCTCGCCCGATAAACTCTGCCATGTCAAAAAAATGTCAGTTCCTTCAAAGCCCACCTTTTGGAACTCCCTTGTAATTTTTAATTGACATTTACATCTGACATTTTGAATGCGCTCTCCCATTGTTAAGCCTACTTCATGGGCTGAGCAGCAGGAGCTGCCCCCAGCCCCCCAACACACGCCGACAGAACGGCTACCTTCACCACACTGCCCAACTGAACTGATGTCAGCGCAGTGAGAGTGATCGGGTGACATCATCACTGGTTTCTGTTCTAATTCACTCTATGGTTTCATTTCAAGGCCAGGGACCTTTGTAGACAGCCATTAGTTCATTCTTTCTGTTGGGATAAAAATATTACAGTGAAACACCAAAACACATGTTGAGTTTCCTTTCGAATGACCTTCCAAACATGGCAATCACTTTTTTTAATTACCACAGCACTCCAGAGTGACAGTTCTAGTGATTAGCTTATTTTTTTTACCGTTCCCATTTAAACTAACGCCAGTGCTTGTAACCATTGTTAATTGTTCCTTATTTACCCTTAAGCTCTGGGAAAAAAGAAGAAGAGAGGAATGGTGTTGTATTTTTCTCAAAATGACACAACTAATTTTCTCTCCGAAGCCCTCACCAACAATATTTATCATCCAAACAATAGCCTTGCCAAAACACTAACCTCATAATACACTCTCCTCAGTGGAGTGAGGGGTAATGACGCTTTGCCTATGAAGGCTGCAGAGGAGAAAAAAATAAAAAGAGGGGCTAAGAAAGAAAGGCGATGGAGGAAAAAAAAAAGTGTGTTCAGGCCCACTGGCTGGATGTGATGGCGAAGAAGCCATTGGTCTCGTCTTACCATCAATCTTATCTGCAGCCTTCCTCGTGCCAGGGAGCCGTGTGACGGATGTGCTGATAATTGAGTTATCCATCTCCCCCAACTATCAGAGTTGCATAAAAATTATTCACCTGATGGTGAATATTAAGTACATAATAAGCCTCGTGTGTGTTTTAGGAGAAGTGGGTATAGTTAAACATGGCATGTAATGAAATACAGCTTCAGGGTAACCTGCTCCCTCATCATGATTGGAGGGCATGGCTAAGCTGCGGTTGGCAGAGAGTCTACCAGTAAATAAAAACCCACGCAGAATGAATAGGAAATATGTAATTTCTTTCTAGCATACCTCGCACTATGAATTAGACCCATTGAGCCTTCTTTTGAAAGCTTTGACGTTTTTCCGCAATGCATGGTTTGCAGGGAAGTTGTCGTCTCTTGCTGGGTTTGGTCAGTTTGTCAAACATGGGCTTCAATAGGGCAGTGTGCAAGGCATTAGTCCTCTGCATGCTTGCGCTTGTTCTTCTCCCTACTTCTCCCACTAAAAGCTACAGCATGTCTGTTTGGCTACATGCAGCTGGCTGAATTTATGAAAGCTAAAGCTAGGATGCACTAGGTCTTACCCCTGTTTGTGTACAGGATGAATCATCTGCTCTGTTTCATGTTGGTGGGGTAACACTAACCTCATGTTTGTGATGCCATCATTTACACACAGAGTACACTCTGGATTTAGATCAACAGAACCTCCCCATCATCCAATATATGTGATTTTCTTCATTCAAATAAAATGATCAAATAAATCTGTTTTTTTATTTTTTTTTCTTCATAAGATGATTGCTTTTTCTCCTCTGTAAGAGGTGAAGAGGGCTTTGCTGCAAATGAGCTGAGCTGGCAGCCTGCCCTAGCCTAAAGTTAATCAGCTGTGCGATCCGTATGCTGCAGATGTGTCAGAGTTGAAAATGTTAGCGTTCCTAATGGAGGCTTGAAAAGGTTAGATCTGATAAAAAGCTGTCAGAGTTTGACAAAAATGATTTATGGCGGTATAATAGGACAATATGGCTCATTTCACCCTCATATGAAATGGGGTTAAGACTTTTGGATTTGTCATATACATCATGCAGCTTGACCACTTGGAAGTAGTTGACGTGATGGCGAGTCGTTTGTGTCGTTCTGTTTTCTTTGTAGCATTTGTGGCTGATGTCTTGAAGAATCGTTTTGGTTACAATACAGTACGTCAGAGACCACCCTACCTTTTTCATTTCCATTCAAAACGGCCATTAAGTACAAGTTATTCATTTTTCAGCAGACATTTCTGAAAAAGATTATATATTATATATTAGATAATCCACTTGGAGAAGGAAGGGGGAAAGTCAAATAAGTACAAGTGTGGGGGGAGGGGGGAGTTTTCAAAACTGGAGATCAAAAATGAGTTACAAGACATAAAGGAAATGGGACTGCTGGACCATCAAAACTGTCAACATCAAATACCTAAAGCTTTCATCTTTGAGAGAGATGTAAAAATGAAGCTCCGCTCTTGCTTCACATCTGCAAAAATCCACAGGTGTCTTCTGTCCATCCTTTCGCTGTGAGAAGACAACACTGTGGGTCTGAAAGGATGTTTAGATGCCAAGAAGCCCTCACTGAGAAAAGAAATAGACAAAAAGAAAATTTAAAAAATCAAACAAAGAAACTGCTGGTATTTTCAGAACAATGGACTGACCACCCCAGAGTTCCAGACCTCCAGACTTCAGCATAATTGAATATGTTTAAGATTACTTGTATTATGAGAACAGAAAACACAAACAACTTTTAAGACTAAACTTTTCTGGAATGCAAGTAAAGTTTAAGGGAAAATAAATGCTGAAAAAAGAATGACTTGTACCTTATGACCATTTTGAAAAATAAATGAAAAATGGTCTCTGACCTTTGCACAGTACTGTACATCTCGTCATATGAATATTAAGGAGTACACATTAACAATCGGACAGACAGTTGCAGTAATAAATTGAGGTTGGAAAAGGCTATTTCAGGATAACAAATAGCAAAAGACTAGCTTTTTAATTGCATTTTGTGCAAATTGTAAATTTGAAAATATTTATTCACTGATTTGCATACATAAAGAGGATATTTAAGCCCTTTTTGTTGGCTTACCTCCAATCTGACAGTTTCTAGCCACCTTAAAAATTTCCAATTAATTTTCTTCTTTATGTCCTAGATTTTGCAAGAGAAATTGGATAATAATTTTGTAACAGTCTTATGCTGGTCCATCAGATAGCCCTGACATGGAATTAACTTTTGATATAAGAAATTGGACAGTGTGCTCATGTATAATGGATATGTCCATCATACTCTCACCCATCTTCTGCATGTAAGGCCAGGAATTTCTATTTAATAAATACATATTGTAATGACTTCTGAAGCTGAAAGCTTTTTGCTCTACAAAGTGTACAGTCATATGAAAAAGTTAGGGAACCCTTGTCAAATTACATGTTTCATTGATTTTTTTTTTTGTTTGTTTTTTTTCGTTTATTTTTTTTTTTTTTGTGAAATTAAATCCTCCATAGAGAACACACTGCTGCCCTGCACACTGTTAATTTGCTGAATTGAACATAACGAAGGGAAAAACAAATACATGAAACGAACACACACACACTCACACACGCGCGCGAACACACACACACACACACACACACACATATATATATAAATCGCTGCTGTCAGAACAAAACCTTGTGTCTCCAAAATGATAACAGGAGAAGGAAAAAACATACTTTACTTTTAATGTAATGGGGGGTGGGGTGTTTAAATTTTTGGATACAACTGTATGTACATTGTATATTTTTGCCTGGATGGATGTTTTGAGGGTATAGGTGTACTGGCCCATAGAAGGCCGTCAGCAGGAGCATGCAGATAGAGCATGTCACCTGAGAGAGAGGCTGGCGGCCCCACAGCTCTGTCTCCGCTGATCCCAATGAGGCTGGACATCGCTGGGCTAACCCTGAGGACAGTCCCTCTGCCACAGTCATCTGTGACACACATACAAGCACACTCAGCCCTGCCTGCTTGTGTAATGCCTTAAACCATTATACAAAACATGAACTTTATTATTTGAATAGCATGGTTGTGTGGTTAAGCTGCAATGTATGCTTGATTTTTTTTGTGTGTGTGTCTTTGCAAAAGCCCTGTGTCAGGGCTTAAGCTCTCTTCTGGAAACATTCTGATCCACATCCCATGACGTTTTCATCTTGTGTTCCATTCCGTACCGGCTAGTTCTTTATACCCAATATTTCAAACCATTTTTTTCCCCGAGTTCTCGTAGATGCAGGCTGTGCACCACAGAGTGCTCTTGTGACAGTTTAATCGTTAAGAGCTCTAGAGAAATAAAGTTGACATGAGATGACTTCAAGAAATCCTCTTGGAATTTGCGACCCTCAGCACATGACATTTACCACCGCGATACACCCAAGTGTAACGCAAGATGTATGACAGACAACTCAGAATACTAATGGCGAATGACAAGGTGGTTTCATGCTTTAAGGATTTCAATGCATATTTAGGCGCATTGTTTAACGCGCTCTGCATGTAATCCAGGCGTTTCAGCCTCCCATCCGGCCGTAGGATTTAGCCCCCACTAAGCCTCCATTTCACTTATTTATTCGGAGGGGTTTGTGCTGGCGCATTATACAAATTTGTCGTTTAAAGTTAAGGTTAAGAGCGGCTTTGATGCACAGGATGTGCAGTAGAAATGAGCAATGGGACGCAAAGAGGCACCCAGCTGCAGTTTCTGAAGACTTAGTCTGACAGTTCAAGTTGTAAAGAAAGCCTGAAGTAATTGGGAGCGAGAGCATGCCTTTTCAAGGAATTCCTGTTTTGTAACGGAACTTTTGAGTAAACTTTTTTTTTCCTTCTGCAGATTTAGAGATTTATGTCGTTAGAGCTAAAGAAGCATATGCAGGATTTTAAGCCCCCGCTTCCCCTCCTTTCTCCCCCTCTTCCCCTCCTTTATTGACCTTCCGGGTTTCATTCCAGGCAAAAGTCAGCAACATTTGTCATCCTGGTGGAGATCATGTCTGGGGGCACTGAGAGCAGTGTGACTTTATTAAAATGGCTCTTTGTAAAACCTAATCTAACAGGAGAATTTTGATGTCTGAAATGGTTTTGAGCACACAAGTGTCTCTAACCCCAGAGATATTTTGAACTCTGGGATGGTGAACACGAGAGGGGACGTGAACTCTGGTTTTTCTGGCATAAAGGTAGCCTTGTGACAAATAGAACTGGCGCATGGAACAAGCTGTGTACTGTGTTTCACACATTCATTGTAGCTGACTGACATGTCAACTCACATCAAAACACATGGAAATGAGGAGAGTGTTTTCTAAGGTGCGATTGTTTTTTTTAGAGTGCTTAAGTGTACTGAGGTTATGTACAGTATAACATGAAGGTCTTCATTGTTTGATGCTTAATTCAAAAAAATAAAAAAGAAAAAATGTGAGTTGCACTGATAATGTTTTAAATATTCAAAGAAAAAAAATCCAGCAGCATCTTTTTAAATCCTGAACATGTATATCAAACTTCAAACAAGCTAGCAACAGTACTGGAGATGTTCTCTTACATCTTGGTGTAGATACTGTAGTTTACCAGTAATCTACATATCTGCATAGCAGAGCATGCTGAAAAAGTCACTGTTGACATAACTGCTGAGAATCAGAGCGATAGTATGATTTGTTTGCATGACCCTTAGATGCCCCAAACTGTTCAAAGTACATGAGATACTGCCTATTTCTGTCATAGCTCATATCTAATTTCATGTAACTCTGTCCTTCTATATTATTGCCTCATTTAGTTTCATAAATAGTTTTAATAACTCTACCATCCTCAAGTCTTCTGTCTTTGAAAAAAAAACACACACACAAAACCAACACAATTAGTCACTCAGTGATCCTTTTTAGAGGAAAATGAAATTTGATTTCAAGAGATGTGCGTGACTGCATTCAGTTCCAAGCAGTTCATCTTGCGCGTCCTCTCTGACCCAAAGTCAAGCGTAAAACATCTGAGTGCTGGTGGAAGGGGCTGACCTCGTGCCGGGCTTGTATGAAGACCGTGCTATTGTACACCGAGGGTTAAAGAGAGCACTGGAGCATGAGGCTGCGGCCTGTATGAAGGACACCACTCTTAAAGTGGCCAATTGAATGGAAAAAATCTGTCCTTTTGTTCCTTAGTAAACCAGCATGCCCCTGACATTTTAGTCCAAGAGTCTTCTTTTTTTTTATTGGTGTTAAATGGACGGAAAAGGAGTATATATTTTAGAGTTAAGATTTTCATGATCTTGCAAGCTTATGATTGCTTTTGTAGCCTTTATAGGCTCACAGCCGTTTTAATACATTGATATTTATGGTGGAAATACATGATTCTTTTCATTCTGTGAATCTGCTGAGCGTAAAAAAACTTGTTCTTGTAGAGTTTAGCTACTGTCTAAACGATGACTGTTAGGTTTAAAAGCAATATATACTACAGTTCATAAGTTTAGAATTACTGTTTTCAATAAAAAATAACTTTTATTGGAGATGTATGTATAAAATTTTCAAATCTGATAATGTTCTATAGATTTCAAGTGGTTTATAGGAAGCTGTCAATATTTAAAAGTGCTAAACAGAGCTGTAGATGATTCCGTAATAATTTAGACAGCTGTAGCTTGAAAATGAACTTACAATAAAATTAATGCCCAGAATACTACATATTTGAAAAGTGGTTATCAAATAGCTATTCATAATCATTTTCATGACAAGAAATTACTATAAATTGATCATTACAGTTTATTATTTAATAACATCTGCTATTTTTATGTCATAATTTCTTGTAACAGTTGTGAATAAACCATCTGTTTACGTTTTTGTATCTAGCTTATGACATTTAAATTTTTGTATCAGTTATTTATGTTATTCTGTTTTCCTAAACGTAACTGATACCTTGTGAGCTATTTTGAACAAACATTTTCCTGTTGAAGCTCCCAGCCATCACATGGATTTGTTAAATTCCATCACCAGCACATCTGATTTAATTTGATGCATTGATTAGCAAAACCAGGTATTGAATGATAACTACAGATAATACTTACCTTACATGAGGAGAGGTTTGAAAATGGTTAAACACATTGACATACATAAAACCACTACTTATTAAATCAATATTATTGTAGCATTGCAAAATTGTGTGTGTGTGTGTGTGTGTGTACATGTGCATGTGTATGCGTATGTGTGTATTTCATTTTTCATTTCATTGCATAGTTCGTTGGCCATATTTAACATTTTGCGGGAAAAAAAACAAAAGACATGGCTTGTGTGAAACTGTTGACACATTTTATATTTTATTTTCAGCATATGCAAATGAATAGAAATCATGCACAAAAACTTGCACAAAAATTACATCATTTTTTTTGTTTCCTGTAGAGGATGTGTTAATTTTCAGTCTTAAAAAAGCATGTATATATATGATATATATATATGTATGTAGTATACATATATATATATATATATATATATATAAAATCACTCCTCTTTGTTCATTTGGAGGATTAGACTCATCTGTTAATTTTATAGCTCTGTTTTATTTTAAGTGGCAAACAGCTCAGATTGAGAGGCTGGACGGCTGAGATAAGTGGCTGTTTATAAATAACTTATATTCGTCTTTTAGGGCCACTGTTACTCGCTCAGCCTTGTCCTCTTCCTGCCTAGTTCACTTCAACCTCTCTTAGCTCTCGCCTAGACCATCAATTACAGTGGGTCACCATCATGTCATCTTAATCGAGGAACAGATGTTGGCCTATTCTGACAGTCCTCATCAGGAGAACACATTGGTGCAGGGAATTGTGCTTTGTGCTACAGTATCCATAAACGTCAGTGTTGAGTTAGTCAGTCAGGATTTTTTTTACTCCCCCCCACCCCCTCCCCTCCCCTCGGTTGCTGTATAGTGACCTCGTTGGACATGATCGCAGTGTGAAGGCCTGAGGTTGATTTGTTTCTGTAAAGAGTCTTTGAGTGTTTCAGGCTGAGAGGTAATCCAAGCAAACAGGGGGTTTATAAAGGACAGCTAGCCTTCCAAAGAGCGTGCCTGTATATATCACAATTAGCAACCTCATGCTTTAACCAAGCTAAATATCTATAAACAAGTCTCCACAAAAACAAACATGTCATGGTGTACAAATCACTTTCTATATTGTACTCAGCATTAAGGAAAATCTGTGCAGCATTTGTGTCGGCAAAAAGAAGTGATTGCTTCTTTTCCCTCATTTCATCATTTGTTAAGTTTTCTTTTTTCTCTTGGATTTGGCTTATCAAACATTATAAAAATTACACATTTTTCAGTCTTTGTGCAGATTGAGTGTACTCTGGAGAGTTTTTTTTTCTCTGAATTTTCACTGCAGATATCATGTAGAAAATCTTGTTTGTTTAGATTTTACTATTTAAAATCACATTAGCTTGCATTATTATCGGGAATGCACAGTAAAAGAGGTGGACGCAGTAGGATATTATAGGACATTAAAGTAGCAATATGTACAAATAAAGACAAAGCTCATCTTTTGTCTTTTGGTGTTCACCATTGCAGTTACTAATACAAGGCCAATGTGTGTGAATGATTCTTTACATCAACCAGGTCATTATTTACTAATTAGGCAGTATGCCTGTGATGTTTTTAATGATATACACTAAAGCTGTCAAAGTTAATATGTTAATAGTAAAGTTAACAGTAAACCTTGGGTTATGTGAGCAAGAGTGGTAGGCAATCATAGAGGAGTCGGAACCATTGGCATGATTGATTTATATATTTGCATATATTTATATGTATGTATGTATACGTGTGTGTGTGTGTATATATATATATATTTATTTGGACTTTGACACAGATTTTGTAATTTTACTTCTGTACACTGCCACAATGGATTTGAAATAAAGCCATCAATATGTTGTTGAAATGTAGCCTTATAGCTTTAATTCAAGGGGTTTAACAAAAAATATTGCATTAACCATTTAGGAATTACAGCAATTTTTACCTAGTCCCTCCATTTTCACAGGCTCCAATGTAGTTGGAAAGACTAACTAAATTATAAACACAAGGATTATTTTTAATACCTGGATGCAAATCCTTTTACTGCCTGAAGTCTGGAACCCATGGACATTACCAAATCCTGAGTTTCCTCCATTGAGATGCTTTGCCAGGCTTTTACTGCAGCTGCCTTCAGGTGCTGCTTGTTTGTGGGTCTTTCTGCCTTTGTTTATGTCCTCAGTAAGTGAAAAGTCTGGTCAGTCAGGTTCAGGTGAGGTGACTGACTCGACCATTTAAGAACATTTAATTTTTTGCCTTAAGAAGCTCTGGGTTTGCTTTCGTGGTATAATTTGGGTCATTATCCATCTATACTATGAAGTGCCGTCCTATCAGTTATGCAGTATTTGACTGAATCTAAGCAAAAAGTATAGCTCTATAGACTTCACAGTTCATTCAGCTACTTCTATCAGCAGTCACATCATCAATGAACACCAGGAACACAGTTCCACTGGCAACCATACATACCCATCCACCATGTTTAACAGATGATGTGGTATGCTTCGGACCATGAGCTCTTTCTTTCCTTCTCTACACTCTTCTCTTCCCATCATTCTGGTCCAGGTTTATCTTGGTTCCATCTGTCCAGAGAATCTAGTTCCAGAACTGGGCAGGTTTTTTAGGTGTTTGCTAAGTCTACTCTGGCCTTTCTGTTCTTGAGTGTTACCAGTGGTTTGCATCTTGAGGTAAAACCTCTGTGTTTAGATTCATGAAGGTGTTTCTTGACTGTAGACTTTGACAATGACACGTCAGCCTCCTCTAGAATGTCCTTGACCTGACTAGATGTTGTGAAGACGTTTTTTTCTTTACCCTGGAAAGAATTCTGCAATCATCCATTTTAGTTGTTCTCTGTGGTCTTCTAGGTCTTTGGTGTGGCTGAGCTTGCCAGTGGACTTTTTTTAAGAATGTACCAAATTGTTATTTGGCCACTCCTGAAGTTTCTGTTATCTCTCTGATAGGTTTGTTTGGTATTTTTAGCCTAATGATGGCCTTCATTTGCGTCAAAACCTCTTTGGACTGCATTTTGCGAGTTCCCATAAACATCTACCTGATACACATTCAGCACTTGGAATCACCTCTAGACCTTTTATCTCCAGGCCACACCTGGCCGTGAAACTGACTGAAATCAGTCAACTGTCCAGTTACTTTTGAACCTGTGAAATGGAGGGACTATGTAAAACGAACTAGTTCTTAAACGTTTAATGCAATATTTTGTTATACCCCTTAAATTAAAGTCTACACTTCAGTCACTGACTGATTGACTGCTTTATTTCAAATCCATTGTGCTGGTGTACAGAGGCAAAATTACAAAAAAATGTGTCACTGTCCAAATGTGACTGTATACGCTGTAAAATGCTCGTCAGATCAACCTAAAAAATGACTTCGTCGTAACAAGCCATTAAACTAGTTTTGTTCAACTCAAAAAAATTACATTGATTAAAAGAATTGTTCATTCAAATTATTTATTTAGATTGAATAAAACTAGTTAACTAGTTAATTTACTTGTTACCACATTTTTGGTTGATCTGATGAGCCATTTTTACAGTGTGGATTTTGGAACAGTTGCTGTTCTCGCTATCATCAGTGATAAAAATTTGAAATTGTGTTCACTCTGGAAAACACATGATTTTGAATAAGCAAGCCAAATTTGATTAATCATGATTAACTCCACAAACAGTATGACTAATCACTATTAGTTTAATCATTTGACAGCCCTAATGTACAAAAAATGCATTCCATTTTTATGAATTGTTACATGAACTTTTGAAAGACAGTAGAAACACCAACAAACCTGCTAACAAATGTTCTAAGTGTTCAGTGCAACAGATTTCTTTCTGTCTCAATTTGTGTTCAGTTTTTAAATGTAAATAGATCATGCATAGCTCTCCTTTTAACAAGGAAAATATGTGAATGTATCTGTTCTTACCTCCTCGTATTTCTGGTTTGAGTTTCAGGTCCTTCTCTTGCTTCTTGATTGCCTTGTAGCTTAAACACAGCTAACCTTATAGCCATTGGTCAAAGCTTAATCAGAGACAGATGAGAACTAGAGCACTGACCTTTGATTCCACTCATCAATTCAAACTCATGTTTAATATCTATCAGGTCAGCATATTCCTTCTGTCGCAGCATATGTATAATCAGTTTAAAGCATTCGGCCCCTTTTGATGAATGGCAGGAAGTGTCTTCGGCTGCCAATATGGCCCAGTGGTGGCCTTTGTTCTTTTATGTGCCATAAAGCAGGGCCATAGTGCACCCCTTTTGTTTTGTACAGTAGAGTGCAGAGAGTTGCACGGATGTGCGTTCCTGCTCTGCATGTCATCACTGTGCTGTTTTTTGTCATGGGCAGCAGGTGGACGGTGATGATGCCCCATCCCTGCTACCACATTGGATCAAAGAAGCAGTGCAAAACCTTGCCACTCTGTTGAATGATGTCTGCAGAGATGTCAGAATAATCCACCCTTTAGCCTGAGAGATCTTTTTATCGCCCATTGTGCTTGCACTTTATGCTTGTTGCACCCTAGCTCCAGCACACATCAACTCTGGTATTTTGAGTGAAAACTCTTATTGCTATTATGAGTTTATATGTTGGCCTGACTAAAATCCTGAGGAAAATGGAGCTGTCTGGTGAAAGCTATCTGATAGAACCTGCCACTTCAATTTCTCTGCAGCTGTGGCTAGTTGAGACCGGCTCAATGTCCTGCCTGACTGCTTGGATTCTCTTCCTTCGTGATTGTAATGAATGTGAAAACTATTAACTTCAGACTGAGTGTGGGCACTTCTTAATCTCCCAAATTCTACTGCTCTCAAGACATTGTGGTCTTCTGTCAGAGCTACACTGGCAGAAAGTATGTGAAATGTGCTTAAGAATATTGATGTTTCTTCAAACGCAGCCATAAATTTAACTGATAAATCACCAATATGACAGCAGCCTTTAATATTTTTTATCATATGTGGTTTATTTTAATAATTTTGAGAATAGTTTTTAAATGCATTCACGCTGTGTACTGTAGTGTACTGTACCTCACCTAATTTGGCAATGAGGGGCTTTAGCAGTGAGTGGAACTCAATCCGTGGAACTGCTGACAGTCCACAGCCCCCCCCAGAGTCCCGGTGAAGGACCAAGCCGTGGTCAAAAACGACTGCAGCCTCTGTTTTGAGCAGTCGTTGTGGTTTGAATTAGTGAGGGGATAAACTCTTTGAATAATGATTGCAAAACATTTTGCTTTAGCTGCCTGGGTGAAACCAAACACTCTGGCTTAAACCTTCAGACCTCTTTCTCTGCCGTTGTGTTTTCGCTTCATATTCCTGAGTTCATGGGAAACTTTCAGCGGAGGTTACCTGCGCCTGTCCAAGCAATGGAAAAAAAATGTCATAGCCTAAGAGAATGTTTTTGCAGTTAGCTGAAATATTACTAACGTTGTCAAATGTCATTTTGAATGAGAAAGCAAACATTTTAATCAGCATTTTAAAAGCTGGACTTTTTGAAACAGTTGACTCTGGCAGAAAGGGGTCACGTAAACAGACCAAACGTGACGTTTGATGTCATGTTTGGTCTGTTTCTCTGATTTTGATGCCACTGCATGGAAAGTTATACTTTCCCTGTCCAAAAAAGGAAGAAGAAGGGGATGAATGAGAAACTACTGAGAGGTCTTAACATGTTAAGTGCTGTAATCTTCCCAAAGCGTTCAGTCCCTTTTTCCTGTTGGCCCTCCTCTCAACTTCAACCTCCAACCTTTCTCGGCATGTATCACTGCAAACGAAGGCAGCCCACGCCGGGTTGACGTGGAGGACCCAAAGCCCCAGGGCCTTCTTCCTCTTTCTTCGGTCCCGCCACCACCAACTGACCTCCAGTCCCAGCCACTCCTCTCCTCTCCTAGCCAGACGTGCAGAGGCCCGGCCGTAAACACAAGCTCCTATCACCCGCGCGCCCGTAATGACTGTTTTAACAGCACCAGAGGAGGTGGAGTATACATAGTAAATTGTGTTTGACAATGCGGGCTTAGTGGTTTTGTCGTAGCTTGTCTGTAGTTATTACTCAGACTTCCTCCTGCCAAAGATAAGGGTCGTTGCTGAACATACCAAGGTGCGCATTGTCGGCACGGGGGTCCTTATCGCACAGATTGATTTAGGGCAAACCCCTGTGACAGAGGTCATTGCGCACTAAAGTTATCCATCATCCAGGCTTTTGATTTCTGCCTGTGTCTGTCTCCAGACTGTCTACACGTAGGCTGGGTGTGAGGGGAGGGGTGGGGTGCGGTGCGGCGTGGTGTTGAACGCAGCGGCATGAGAATGCTTCAGAAAGCACAGGACCCCAGCATGCATCAAAATAACTCTGGTCAAAATGAGCAGCACTGTCCCAGGTGCCCAAGACTGCTATTAGGCGTCTGATATGCAGGTGAATACAATATGACAGACACCGTTACCAGACTCCCTGCAGTAGCTGTCTTTATCATTAAAAATTTTAGAACTGCAGCTTTGTAGGTATTCATATTTGTAGCTATAAATCCCTGCTACATTGACAAAATCTTCAGTGACAGAGAGTAATCTGTTTTCTTTCGTCCTTATGTGGATATTTGGAATGTTCTGCACAGAATATTTTCCAAATGTCCTTTAGTCTCTTGTTTTCTGGAATATGCCAAGTGGTACTAACATTTTATCCTGTAATATGAATTTATACATATTTCATGATATTCCATGTCAGTATTTTTCCAATTTAAAAAGTGTTTTTTCAGTGGGATGAAGATGAGTAATTATTGCCATAAATGCTGTCCATGGCTGGACAGTCCTAAAGCTTAAATGTCATATTTTTTCTGGCATGAAAATTAGGAAATCCTACTTTCAGATATGCTGTGATTCATAACGTTTCTTTTCAGAATATTTATTGCCAATCCTTTCCGTGGTTCCTAGAATGGCTTAAAGTCGACAGTAGCCTTTTTTATACTTGTAAAATGTGCAAAATACCTTGGCGAATGGGCTTGAGTAAACAACCTTTTCATTCTGTGAGCAAGTGCTTCCTTCAAGGTTTGAAACTGTAGCTATTGACTGTTGATGGAGCAGAAGTGGCAGTGGAACATCATGCGATTTCTGACTCCTACACTCCATAAGGATGGCTTAAGTAATTACACTTCAGTCCATAATCAAAATTGTGTCAAGTACTCCTCCTCAAGTAGTACTCCTCGCACACACACACATGCGTTTTATGTATATAAAATGTGTATGTATATATACCCAAGTCCCTTTCTGAAATGTCACGTCCCATTACACAAATTTGGATGTGCTAAATTACTGAGAAAGGTGCTTATACTGAATACGTTTTAGCCCCCCCTTTTAACAGTTTGCGGAAGGTTCGCTTGTTCAGGGGAAATGTAGGTCTTTAACTCTTGGAAGTTGTCTTGAATTTTCTCCCATCGGAAGATGATGTGGTTTTGCAATTCAAATATTTGCTCCTTCTCCTTCCCAACGCAAAGCTGCTTTGAAGCTGGGAAGTTCTATCATCACCAATGACAGTGTGAGTGTGCAGCGTGACAGCGCACTAGGCAGCGCTGCACTCCTTCTTACCGCATATTTTAAGTGCTGTGGAAACACCAAATCAAAAATGCATGCAAATGTCTGCATGTTTTGCATGTGAATATTTTGATTTGTGCGTTTGCATATTCAGGTAGACTACGTGCAGATAAACAGCATTAATCAAGGCTACTTAATATGGCCAGCGTGTTGATCCTGCTCATAAACAAACATGCTGGCAAGCCCTGAAGTTTCACCAATTTCTGTGTTGATGAAAGAACTTGTTTTTCTTTATTTTTTCTTTTTTTTTTTTTCAGGATGTATTTAAAATGCTCTCGAGGACTGAGTCTTTTTGGAGGTGTCAGGAGTTGAAGCACACTTGATTCCCCTGCTAATTAAGCTTCTTCCACTCAGGTCACTTCATCACAGACAATAGGCTTTTGGCTTTTTTTTAACCCTGATTTGCTCAAGTGGTTCTCCACTCATTATTGCACCAATACGCATTGCCTCTTTAGGGGCCTGGGAGGGACAGGGAATCACCAGTTTTTTTTCTTTTGCTATGTGTATGGACCTCGAAGTGCTGTCGTGCACTGAAATATTTAGCATTTCAAATAGAAATTCCTGTGAACCTTTTTTCCATTTTGGGCAAGTGTAGCATGCTGCACATTAACCTTATATATAGACCTCCAAACTTGTCACTGGCGCTCTCTAAACATAAAGAATATATAAGATAATTAAGAATTGTCATCGCAACAAGAACACTCTGCTCTCCAAACCCTATAATTTCATCCTTTTTTTATTCTTTCCCTATTCTTTTTTCGCCTCTCAACAGCAATTAATCTCATTTTTAGTACAATTTCCACCCCACTCCTGAAGTCAGGCAGAGTCCCCTGTTTTGTTCCTATTTGGCTTGGTTCCTGTGCATAGTCATTAAAGGTCCAATTAATGTCACCCTTTAGCTGAAGAGTGCTCATTTTTATTGGGGAGCTGACAGTCGCCGCCGTGAGTGCCGCAGTGTAATATGCATTAATTGCCCCGTAACACTGGTAATTACCAGTTCTTCAAGCCTCTCAGTAAACTGTCATGCCCAGACAAGACTGCTTTGAAATAGATTACTCATTAGGGAGACCTGCCCTGTTTTCCAATGGGGCTCGCTGTGTTGGCACAAAAAAAATGATTCTGGTGCTGAACAAATAGTTGCCAAAAGCAATTTCCTATTACAACTTCCCTGTGACGGGCCTTCTCTCGCTCTTTTTTTTCCTCCCCCCTCTGTTCACCGTTTCGGTCGTCACTTGGGGTGGGGGTCAGGAGCTGAGACAGGGGTCCACTGTGGATCTACCACGCCTTCTGTAATCGCCACTGACATGCACAAGACCGGTACTCATCGGGCACCTGCTCTAGAGGGCTGCACGGCTGAGGGCGGTGGTCACTCACGGCGCTCATGTTGTCTGGGGTCTGTCATTTTGTTTTCACTTTG